AATTCCAATTTGTTCTCTCAATATTCATCAAAATAAAAATAAATTGTAAGAAATGGCTTGCTGGTCTGCCGAGAATGCCTCCCATGCTTACCTCCGAACCATGAGAATGGTAAGCATCTAAAGAATATAATCCGGAAGCACAATTTTACATGACTGTACTTAATGTAAAGTGTCATTTTTAATTTCTATTTTCTTATTATGTTTTCAGGGAAAGAGCACAAAAGAGCCAAACGGTGCCGAATTCATCTCCGCTCTGGCAGCCGGCAACAATGCCCGGTTCACGGTGGTTGCCTGTGGCGGTCCGGCAGACTCCACCGCCCTGGCCCTGGTGGCAGCCGCCCACCAAACCGGCGGTCGCATTGTCTGCATACTCCGTGACCATCAAAATCTCCGAGCCTCCCAGCTAGCTCTCGGCCCAAATGCTGCCAACATTGAGTTTGTACACGGGGACGCCAAGGAGCTCTTATCAAGCCAGTACAAAGACTCGGACTTTGTGGCTGTCGACTGCAAACTCGAGAACCATGAGGCCATCATAAGTGCCCTTCATGAAAAAATCGAGCGCCATCATCGCAAAAACTGCATTGTGTTGGGGTACAATGCATTTTGCAAGGAGACGTGGAGAAATAGCAACTTGAAGGCGCAGCTTCTGCCGATAGGAGAAGGTCTGCTGCTGACGAGAAGGAAGAGAAGCACTAGTAATTGGGTGGTGAAAGTGGATAAATGCACGGGGGAGGAGCATGTTTTCAGGGTGAGATCGTCTGTAGGGAGGTTCATCAGAGCTTGAGTGCGCTGTTAGTGTTTACCGACTTTAGCACTTTCCTTATGTATTGTACTAAGTTATCAAATGTAACTGTAAATAGTTATTATTCCCTCCTATTCATAATAAGTGTCGTTTTGGAAAGTTGCACACTAATTAAGAATAATTTTTTTGCCAATAATAACCCTCATTAATGAAGATAGAGATGGATGTTTTAAAAAAAAGATGAAGAGAATATGAAAAGACGTAATGTATTTATTAACTAAATGAGGGTAATAATGGAAAAATATATACAAAAGATCCAAAACGACATTTATTTTGGTTAATAGTTGATAAAGCCAAAATGACATTTAAAAAGAATAGGAGGTAGTATGAAAAATCTCTAGTCTTACTTCTTTTTTTGTGTGTTTGGATCTTTGTGGTACAGATTTCTAGTTAGTCCTTCAAAACTAGAAACCATATAAGTTGATGTTTTAAAGCAGTTGAAGTTTACACACAAAGTCCCACATCAGAAAAACACCAAACAGATTGAGTGTTTTTAATGAACCACTACAGCTTTTCCAATCACGACCTTACTTGAACAGGATCTGTTCTATAGGCTCGTACCTCTTTATCCTTGAGATATAAAGAGACAACTTAACCAGTCTGGTGGATGAGCTATGGTTGCCCGGCTAGAGCGTGATTAACAGACCCTATGGGCTCTGTCGAGTGTCCATTGGGTCAGTAGAGGATCGTTCTTGGTTGGCTTTGGCGAGCCAAGATGGCCTGGCAGCTGTCTGACAGACTCCCCCCTCTTTTTATTTTTTGTTTTCAGTCAAAAGATCAAAGATAGCAATTATAGAATTCTGATTAATTCTTAAATCCTCTTAGACTAAAAAAAGTAAACCAACTGAGCTTTACCAAAGTGAAAGCTGGAAAAGTTCATAAACAGAGCACTGGATGCTCTGACTAATAATAAATAAAACCATTCTAATAAAAATATTAGCTATTATTCATCAAAAACATAAATTTGATGACAATGCAAATACAGACCAATATATCACACTCTCTCATATCATTGCAATGCCCAGAAACAAACACTTTATCATCTCTTTCACTTGGCAGTCAACATCACAATTTCATCATCTCTTTCACTTGGCAGTCAAAAACATCACAATTTCAACTTCCTTCAAACGTGTAAAAATCACCAACGTTTGTTCGTTCTAATCAAGCAAGATATGTTTTCACCGCATGATCAATACATTATTCACAACCATAGCTGTCATCATCAGTCAATCACTCATCACTAATAGCCTCCAATCAGTAATCATGATCCGAAAATCGTGTCGATAAAAAATAACAACATAAAATATCCAATCGATTAAACAGAAGCCACGAGCCGCCGCCGCCGCCTCATCCAATCAAATCTTAACTTAAAGATACAAAAGAGGGTTCAATCAAAGAGTAGAAATCCCCTCCATAAAAAACAAACACCATCCTACAAAGATACACACCTACAAAGTCCTAATCATCTACCATCCATCTACCTTAAACCCCTACACCTACTCCCAAACAAACGAAAAATCGCAACCTTTTTTTTCTCACCCGTCGAGCTCCCCCACAACTGTCCCCATCGACGGCCTCTCCTCCGGATGCTCGTGCGTACACATCACAGCAACTTTGACGATTATCCGAGCCTCGCGCTCGCAGAACCTCCCGGCGAGGTTCGGGTCCATGAGCCCGAGGGTGCACGATTCAGCATGGGCCCGCATTGCAGGGGAGTACTTGCGCTTCCCGGAGAGGACTTGGAAAACGAGGGCCCCGAACGCGTAGACATCACTCTTGTCTGTGAACCGGCCAGTTGTGGTGTATTCGGGGGCAAGGTAGCCCATGGCAGCACTGGCCTTGAGGGATGAGAAGACTGTGTCGTTTGTGAGGAGCTTGTGGAGGCACGAGTCAGACAAGGATGGGGCCCATTTCTGGTTGAGGAGAACGTTCCTTGCGGATATGTTTTGGTGGACGAGAGGAGGCTTGTTCGGCCTGTGCCCATGCAGGTACTCGATGCCTGCGGGTGAAGAGAAAAAAAAAAATTATATATAAGCATTGCTGTCAAATTTGGTGTTTCGGTTTCGTCTTGTCTAACCATTGTCACCCCTACAAATGCTGCAATAACTCTTCTTTAGCGATGTTTCCATTCATATTAGTAGTAGTTCAACAAAACTGTGTGAGAAGCCTAAGTGGATCCCAAACTACAACATTAATAGCAACCTCCAAGAAAAGGAAAAAGAAAACCAATTTAAAAATTCAAAGAACAAAAGAACTACTGTTTCAAATCCGGAGAAACACTAGTATTCATTGGCCAGAATTGAATTTAATTTTCTTGATAATGAAATTGGCACACTCCAATAAAGAAAAGTGATAGAAAAAAAAATAAAAAAAATTATCAGACATGGATAGGCAGAAATAACTGACCTTTAGCAACACCTTTGATTATAGAAACTCTAACCGACCACTCAAGAACCCGTCCATCACCCTCCTCAAGATCCAAATACTCCGACAAACTCCCATTCGAAAGATAATCATAAACCAGGAAACACTCTCCACGCCCCCTCGAGCAGCAGAACCCTCTCAGCACAACCACATTCTCGTGCCCCAACGAGGTCAACACAGTCAACCCCTTCAGGAACTCAGCTTCCTCAGCCCTGCAGCTGCTCTTCGCCACCCTCTTCACAGCCACAGCCGAACCATCCCTCAGCATCCCCTTATACGTCACCGCATAATTACTCCTCCCCAACATATTCTTCCCAGCAAAATACTGAGTAGCCGACTCCACTTCCTGAAGGTTCAGCCTGAAGTCCCGCATGGCATCCTGAGAAACCCCTCCACCAAAGCGCCGCCCCTCGGCCAGCGGGTCCCACCCGCTCGTGTACTCAAGGCTGACGAGTGGCGACCCGTTTTTCCGGCAGTCATCGTTGCTGCTGAGGTGGCGGCTGCTGTCCGGGACGTCGAGCGAGCTACTTCCGAGCTTCTGCTGGCGCCTCCGGTAATACACGATGGATGCAATGCCTAAGGTGGAGACTATGACGGCAACTAGGACTACTAGTCCAGCTGTCAGTGGGGCCCGCGAGGTTCGGGTCGTTTTCGAGCAGGGGCTTCGGGTGGTGCAGTTCAGGTCGAGGTTGGCCGTTTCGGGTATGTTCTTGGATCCTCCTCCCGGGTACGGGTCGGGCCCCACTGAATTGGACCGGTCAGATTCGCTACAGCTTTTTAGAAAGGAGAAGCCCGACCCGCATAATCCTAGGTTGTTCTCGTAGCGAAATCCGTCCACTAATCTCTTCAGAGCTGACCAATGAGTTAACAATTAGGGTAAAAGGGAGGAATTAAAAGATGGAAAAAAAAAAAGGTCTTTGAGCGTTGTATATATTTGTTAGTTACCAAGCGGGACGTTGCCTGAGAGACTGTTATTTCGAACATCGAGGATTTCGAGCAATGGGGCATCGGCTAGTTTTGTGGGGATGGACCCGAAAAGGCGGTTAAAACTCAGATCCAACCTCATTAGGACTCCCAAGCTCCCCAAGCTAGCTGGGATGGCACCGGTTAACAGATTTGACTGAAGAGCTAGCACGTTGAGCTTATTCAGATGACCGAGCTGTGTAGGTATACTCCCGGTCAGCTGGTTATAACACAGCTGCAGAACTACACGGGAGAGGAGAACTTGAGTTACAAACTATTTGGGCACACAATAAATAAGATGGGTTCAAGAATTAGTTCAGAACTGAGAAATTTAACACTGAAAAGAAGGGAAAATAGATTGTTTTGTATTTGAGTAACAAACTATGAAGAAAGCCAAAAATCTCAAAATAATAGTTCAAGAAACGACTGTTTGAGTAATTGATGTTCTTTCTTTCTTAATGTCTCGTTTTTGGGTGGAACAGAAAAAACAACCAAAGATTTGAAACTTCTTGAACATTGTAAGCTATAAAAACAAAGGTTATTCAGTTCAAAGGTCTAATCTTTCGAGACAAATCCCAAACGCAGAGAATTCTCGCAAATCTTGCTAATTGTCACTGCTCTTGCAGTGATTCTTGCAATCTTAGAAGCCTCAAAGCGCCAACATCTACTAATTGGTCTCTATATCATATCCGTAGCAGAAGAAGAAAAGGAAAGATAAAACGTGCAAAAGAAAATCACACAGCAGAAGAAAAATAAAAAAATAAAAAAATAAAAAGCAAAACAAAACAGTGACAATAAGATGGGGACAAATTGTGGAAAATTTAAAGGTGTTAATAAACCTTGCAAGCTCTGCATGCCCCCAAGCTCAGGCGGTATCTCGCCGGAAAAATTATTGACATTCAAGTAAAGATCACTCAGCTCGGTCAAGTTAGCAATCTCTACAGGTATTTCTCCATACAGAGAATTGTAATGCAGGTACAGCCCCGTGAGATGCCTCAGTTGGCCGACCGCCGGTGAGAGTTTTCCGACGAGCCCTTTTCCCTGCAGCGAGATGTTAGCCACCTGCCCTTTTTCGTTGCAAGCCACCCCCTCAAACGTGCCTCCACATGGGTTGCCCGACCCGACCCATGAGCTCAAATGCCGGTTTTCCGGGTCAAGACCCGATTTTAAGTCCAGTAAAGAGGTTAGCTCGGAAAACGGGTCCGCGGAGGAGAGTGCTGCCAGTAGAAAGGACAGAAAGAGGAAGAGAGAGAGAAAATCCATGGCGTTTTAGGGAATGGAAATAATGAGAACAGAGGATAAAAGAAGAAAAAATTGTTTTCCTATTATATATGTAGCTTTTTTCTACTTTTTTATTTTCTTTAAAATGATAATTTGAGCTTCGATAGGCCTGTGTCTATATTGTTTTCTTGTTTTTGGAAAACAGGGTTGGAATCTCGGTGTTGAGGCGTGCAGAGGAGAGAGAAAGAAAGGGGGAGAGAGAAAATTATCACAATTTGGAAATACAGAGAACACACGCAGAGTGTGTGTGTTAATGTGTGTGTGGTTCTGCTGCATAAAAAAAAATTGTCCAAGAAGAAGAGAGTGGAAACATGTACTCCGCAAATAGACTGAAAAGGGTAGCCTTATACTATTCAAAATAAAAACTTTGATTGTGCTGTGATTCGAACACGTTGTTTTGTGGGCATCTCGTGGTCATGAGAGGACGATGCTAGGAGACTGTTTCTTCGCCGTTGATTTGTTTCGTGTTATTATGGCTAAAGATGTTAAACGGACTAGTCCTAACGGTTTCGTGCTAGCCCTAGCGGGCTTCGGGTTAAACGGTCCGGGCCTAAAAAGTCCGAATTTAAACGCGCTACCAAAAAAAGGACTTAACCCTAACACTAGCGGGCTTCGGGCTATGGCTATAATAATAATAATAATAACATATATAAAAATAAAAAGAGTAAAAAATATAAAAAAAAATAACAACGGCTAGTTAAAAATTGTTTTCAACGGCTATTTAATATTTACCGTCTATCACTATGTTTCATGTATTTCTTATTAGTCGTTCTGATTGGCTTAAATATTTTGGTACGAAGTGTTGTTGTATGATATTAACAACTCAAAAGAACTAACAGCAAGGTGTATTTAAACGAAAATAAATATAAAATTGAGTATTATTGATAGTTTCACAAGAGTACAGGAAGTCGGTTTTTTGTTCTTAACCGAGATCATTTTTAGTCCGTGTACAATGTGGCGAAAAAGATCCCCGTACAATCATAAATTCTGCTATTTATAGTACGGTTATTCTTGTCTTTTTGTCCGAAGTAGATAAGATCGCATTTAATGTTGAGTAGCTTCCATAAAGCGGTGTGTGATGGAATAGGGGAACATCAATGATTATTCCTTAATTTGCTGGTCCAATTAAAAATGTACAGCACCTCCTCCTTGGAATTTCGATCTTCTTGTATCTCGGATAAATGGATAATCTTCAATGTAAGTGAGGTTGGTGAAGTCGGTCTTTCTGGCTCTGATGGATAATCGGTTTTGTTTTCAGCTGTCTAGCTCAAGTTGGTAATTTATTTAACTGTACTGACTTGAACTAAGTTCGGCTATTTCCGAAAGGCTTATTAACGGTATAAAGTGATTAGTCTTTGGCTTAATCACACGAAACTAAGTCGGTCATCAACATGAAGTACAATAACAATATTGTTAATAATTATCTTTCAAAATCATAATAATCCATTACAACTCGTACTTACATGTAAAGTGGAATATCAAAATTGTAATATACAAGGAATCTAAGAGCATATCACTTACTTGATGCAAACATTTACACCGCCCAACCCTAGTTAAACGGGCCAGCCCTAGCGGGCTTCGAGCTAAACGGTCCGGGCCTAAAAAATCCTGATTTAAAGGGGCTAGTAATAAAAGGACCTAACCCTCTTTTTTTCCGGGCTAAACGGACCGGTCCGTCGGGCCAAGGACCATTTAACATCTCTAACTATGGCTATGAATTTTCGCAAATTATTGTGCAATATTTGTTCGGCTTGAATACACACTCTTTGAACACGTGAGTTTCTGCCTGTCTCGTTAAAACTCAAAAATAAATTTTTTTAGAGTTCGTTTTATTAAGGCTCGTGCTCGATTATTAATATTGATAAACGAGTCAAGTTCAAGTTTAATTACTGGTTAATTTTTTAGAGCATGCACAATGCTTTGGGTTTAATTTTGCTTACATGACATGTAAATAGACTTAAGTCTTGAATGATATGGACAAAAATATAAAAAAAGTAATGAAATTAACTTTAATGTAAAGAGATTAGGTCTCTACTTGAGTCTAAAATAGACTCAATGGTAGATCGGATCTCATTTTCTTGCTGCCACATCAGCAGGACTTAGTCTAATTGCATTTGCATTGGAGTATATATTTTCTAGAGTGAATCTATTTCTTACGTGCCATGTATATTTTTTTCAATAAACCCAAAGAATTGTGGATGCTCATTGGGTCTAGTCTTGTCTATGTGGCATGTAAATAAACTCAAGTCTTGAATAACATGGATAAGACAATGTAAAATTAATAAAATCAACTCCAATGCAAAGAGACTAGGTCTCTACGTGGGTCTAAAATAGACTTAAAAATAGACCGAGTCTCTTTTTTTGGCTGTCAAATATGCAGGACCCAGTCTACTTTTGTTTGCATTGGATAATACAATTTTTTAGACTGTCTATTTCTAATGTGCATATAATTTTTTGTGATTGAACCCAAAGCATTGTGTATGCTCGCGAGCCGAACTTAACTTATTTTTATCCCGACAATGTTTTTCAATTCGGACTTGCCCGGCAGGTCGATTCGAAGCTGGAGAAGGCCGGGTGGGTGCTTCGGAGCAGATGACAACAAATTCGGTCAAATTCGTCATTGACCCGGTCGACTTGGGCATTGGTCTGGTTGGGTCAATCTAGTTTGTATATATATTTTAATATTTTAAAAATAAATGGTCATGGGCGGATCCACATTATAGTTGGGGGAGGTCATTGTCCCTCCCAACATTTTTTTTTTTTTTTTTCTATTAAGCATATGTAAAACTATAGTGTTATATTGATCCTCCATTTAAATAAATAAGTTGAGGCTTTGATAATCAACAATCTCACCTAAAAATATAGAATTTTAAGAAGTGTATTAGTAAAAGAATCTGCACAACTTTATCCTAACTCATTTGTAGTAGTCCATGTACTAATTATTATAAATAATAATTAGATATTGTAACTCTTCTATTAATACACTTGTATATAACTTAATACGAGTAAATTTAATATGTTGAACACTTAAGGTATGAAATTTAATGTGGTAGAAATATATGATATATATTTATAGAAAATTCAAACATGAGATTTTTTTTTTTATTTTTATATTGTGTAGTTTCGAGTCAACTATTAATATGTTTCATAACTTGAGAAAATTTAAACAACTCTAATTGCTAGCAAAGTTTGGAAGTACATATTTTTTCTATTACATTGAATATGTGATGTTTTTTTAAATTATATTGTACATCGCCTCCCTCACTAAAATTTTCTGGATCCGCCCTAATAACCATTTAAAATGGTTATTATGAGATACAATAATAATAACATTTGGTCTATAAATTTAGAGATAAAATGTTTGTATAATAAAAACACTAAACATATATAATTTAAATTTTTTTTAAAATTAATAACTCGTTTAACAATTAATCTCCTCGGGCCTGCTCGGTCAACCCCCACTCTTGGTTTAAAAATATTGCCCCCGGCTTAAATATGAATGGGGTATCAATATTTTATTATAAAATTTGAAAATTTGTGTTATTTAAATTGTTGAAAATATAATTATATGTTTATGAATATTAGTAGTTTAAAATTGTTTCAAGGCCTCCAGTGAAATCATGTTTTATTTTCTTTTTTTAGTTTTGGGCCTGTCATATTAAATTATTTGGTTATGATTTATTATTATCATAGTGCACAATGACAAATAATGAATTGTTTTGTATGAGCAAAGCTTTATTTTCAAAATTTGAGCACTTATTGTATTACAAATGTCAATTTTATTTTTTTAGAGTTCTTTAATTTTCAAATGAAAACCTACTTCTAGAAAGAAAGAAAAAGAAAAAAGACTAGGTGCTACCCATGACTTTTTTAATAAAATTATGATTACACTATAAAATATCATACTTTTTTATATTATTGTTTAAAATATAAGATTTTAAACATACACATACACTTATCTGCAAGGGTGGGCCTGTATTTAGGTCCGGGGGACCATGCCTCTCACCCCTCAGTTTTTCAAATATTTTTATTAAATATATATAATAAAAATAATGAAACATAAAAAAAATGGATAAAAATATAAAACATTTGAATATATATTATAGAAAATATTATCTATGCTAACTTAATTTAAATTATTTCATAATATGTTAATATAAGTTATAATAGAAAAATTAATATCTTTACATTTTGGCTCAATTTTTTAAATTTTTTTAAAACATCGCCTTTGAACTTTTGGGCTTTAATTGTAAATCGATTAATAAGATCCCTAACCAAGTATTAGTTGGCTCTTATGATTGTTTTATGTTGATTATTTACTTTGGTTTTTAGTGGAAGCACATATGTTAACTTTGTTATTTTTTGTAAAATGTACTCTCGATAAATTCTCATCAACAAATTTGGCCTTGTTTGTTTTTTGGTGGTTCAGCCATTTTTCAGCGTTTTTGATCCCATTAGCTTTTTTGAAAGGTTGACCGACGAAAATTTGATGTTTGGTAATAGGCTTTTCATATTGGCGATTTTGGTATGAAACGCCAAATTAAAGACGCTGCTATTAGTAGCGTTTTGGGTTAGCGGATGGCTTTTTAATACAACACTTTAATTTAGTTTCTTTTCTTCAAAGTTATTTCATTGTGATTTCTTGTATTTAATATACTAATAATTATCTTGATTGTTGAATGATTGTTTTTTATGGCATTTTTTTGCTTTGTNATTAGATGTCGTTTTGACTTTTTTGATTCATCCATTTTGCTACGTATCTAGACATTAATATGTCTAGATACGTAGCAAAATGGATGAATCAAAAAAGTCAAAACGACATCTAATTTAAAAAGGAGGTAGTAATACTTAACCTTTTAGTCAAAGCAGCCACTTGGATTCGCTGGTCAAAACAGCTACTCGAATCCGCTATCAGCTAACAGCCAACCGTCAATTGCCAAACAAGGCCAAAATATTCTGGATCTAGAATTGAAATTATAAGTTCATGAAACATCACAGATTCTAATTATATTTTTAACAGATAGAGCGAGAAATTTTGAAGATTTAAAAAACTTAGAATTACATGTAGTATATTGGAATCAATATGTATCAATAAACACCTATCAATAGTATGGGTGTTATAACTAAAACTAGAAGGTCATTATTTTACCATTGGAAATGGAGCCTAGTGAAATTTTTTTGTCCGTCACTCTTTATGAAAAAAATAAAAAAATAAAAAATAAATAAATAAATAAATGGTTTTACTGTGGAGCTTCATTATTAAAGGCCATGGATTTTGGGAGGTGAGATCATGTAATTTGTAGAAAGTCTTAGTCTCGAATTCAAATCCGCCAATATATATTTTTCAAACATGTTTAACCGTTAGTGGTAAGTTAGCAGCACACTTCAAAATTTCATGTAGCAAACATTTATGT